GAGCAGATGTCTGCTGTAATGTACAGACCAGACAGCAGAATGAGGATGGCCCATCTGTTCCTGTTAGTGTCAGTACTGTGTCACAAGTCCTCACTCTGTGTCCTTCAGGACTCTTATTCTTCCTGATCTTCCTCGCTTTGCCTCTTTCTTCTGCTTGATTTTGTTCTAATTCATTTTGTTTGGGTTCATATATTCCCTGAATATTTGAATCATCTTCAATCAGAGTAGCACAACTCCTTTTTATTAGCATAATTACTTGAAAGAAGGTGGTATATTTTTATAAGAAACCAATTTAGAGCAATATTTTCTCAGATTTATCAGTATTTTTTAATTCAATATTATTTACCATTATACCATTTAGCTGTCCGTGCAAAGGAATACTTAATGTCTCATCATTTAATATTCCCTGCTTTAAATAATATTTAAGAAAATGAATATTTAAATTATGTTGCTAAAAGTAATTTCGTTGTAACAGTACTGACCACCATCGACATGTGATCTCACTGCACGAACTCCATAGCAACGAGTGCAAGCACCACTTCACCACTTTAAATGGGTACCCCTGAGATTTTGGACACTTCCATAAATTGGGCGATTTGCAAGAGACAGATTAAAAGAAGAATGGGCAAAATCGATACAGCTGAGGCAGAGATATCCCTGACTTTCTGTCCTTGGTAAGCTCCTAAAACACTTTATCCTTTAATTCCCATAATGAAACTCAATAGCACCTTTCATTTGACCCTCCCTTCCCTGTAAACACCAATGTGGTTCCAACTCCAGGATTAATGCTGATAAAAATAGAAGATATTATACAATGTTTTTACAGGCTGACTAAACTGATCTTCTTGAAGTCAACTGAATGTCACATAAACTTGAAATACAGCGGCTATGTGCTGGACACTGTTTGGGATCGGGTTGCTCTGGGATCTCTGTAGCTACGGTTTCGTACGAGCAAGAATATCATGATGCTCTTTGAAGTGCAGCCTGAGTTATGTGTGAGTGTGGTGTAGTAGCTCTGAGCCTGTGGGTGAAGCAGCTCGAGCCCACGCAGCTCTCCCACTCACCGCCGAGGACAGCATGCATCAGCAGCCGGGGAAACGCTACACCACAATGAAACCTGACGTAACACACTAACGCCGGACGTTACGGGACAATGAGTGGTGTAATGTAGCCTGCTGTACAGCTTTAAATCCCTCTCTATTTTCCGTGTGTTCATGTGCATACACACATTTACACCTGAGAGATGCCCCTTATAATTCCAGTCATAGTCAACAACTGCGAGTTAACTGCAGTTCCATAGAGAAGGGGTCGTCAACTACATTGATTAACGACATAAACTACATTTACAGTCTGCACCGTCGCCATTACACAAGGCATGAAACTTTCCAAGTCACCGACAAATCTATGGACAGGATAATTACCTCTGTTAAGCAAATACCTCTGTCTTCTTCAATCACTACCCACCGTGTCCACGTCTTGGCAGTGGATGTCCGTATACATATACCTGACTATTTACTATATAGTCCACTGACAACACTGACATTTCCCAGTTGTGCGTTTTTGTCAGATATTTTGATGGGAACGATTTCACATTAGAGCTGTTGGCTTTGATTCCAGTGGAAGGGGATACGACTGGTACCATTATCTTTGGAAAACTGGAGGAACTATTTTAAAAAGAATGGGTTGTCATTAGAAAAAGTCAACCTAAACGAATGCATTTACCTAAAGCTGTGCTGGGGATCTGAAACAGGTTATGGACAAAACAATGAAAATAATTAACTTAATCAGAGGAAATTCAAGCACTCTGCATCGCCTGTTCCGAAATCTCAGTGACCTCCTTCTCCACAGTGACGTGCTCTGGCTGAGTAAGGGCAAAGCCTCGGAGCGCTTCACTGAGCTCAGGTTGTGGATATTCTGAAGCAAAGTAAATTAAAAGGAGCAGCTGACCACCTGCATAGCATGCAAGACAGAGAATACATGTGCAACGTTAGCAGACATATTGTCCCATTTGAATGCACTTAATGTGCAACTACAGGGGAAAGAAAAATCTGAGGTGGATATGGTGAAAAAGCTCAAGGCCTCTGGGAACAAACTTTATCTATTCTACCCAGGTTTGTTATCAGGGAGGCTGCCACACTTCCACCTGCTGAAGACAGTCGTGTGAGCAACGTAAAGCGGTGATTCAATGTAAACTAGCTGACCTCCAGGTGAAATGAAGGTTGCTCTCCGTGGTGCTGAAAGCTTGAGCACTTTTTGGGTTGCTTATCTCCAAGACTATGGCACAGTGAAGATGTTGGCTCTGTATGTTCTCACCATGTTCGGGTCAACCTATCTGTGTTCTCAATAAAGAACACTATCAAGACGCATGAGCGGAAGTAGCTGTCAAACCAATCTTTGGAGGTTTGCTTTTGAATAAGCTTAAGAGTTGTCGAGCCTGTTGTTAAGAGGCTGAACATGGTTTTATAATACTCATATTCACACTTTGGAGCTACCTTGGTATAACCAGATTTCCTCAACCATTTTTACACAGCCGGTCCGGGGGTTTGGACAGGAAACCTTTTTAGCACCTCACTGCCATCCAGTTTCCAGTCATCGGGCAGCTCTGTGTGTCTGTAGATTTTATCTTAACCTGAGTGAGTCAGGCAGGATGTTGTCCTCTGCGAATGGTGAGTCACCGCGCAAAGTTATTTTACCATCTTGGTGAAATGTCTTAGCAGAGTCTGAAGTGACCACCCGCCAAGCACCAAATGCTGAAAAAACGTGTTTGGCAGAAAAATGGGTCAGAATAACCTGTTATCTGTCGAGAAGTTTCAAAATATCTTAATAATTGTATTCTCTGTTACACAATATGAGGAAGCTACATTGGTGTCATGTACAAAGCTTCACATATTTACAGAAACATCCTTTGAAAATGTGTATTTGGTATATTTATAGACTGTATAAAAGAAGTTGTCACTGTGACCCATTGTCCCCCACAATTCAACAACTAGCGGAAATACACATTGTGATGACATTGTGTATTTCCTTTATTGCCACCAGCAGGATAAAGTTTTCACTTATCCTGGAAAATATCTCAACATCTACTTGATAGATTGGCAAACATGTTTGAACAGACATATATTGTCCCCAGATGATGGATCCTAATGACTTTGTTGATCCTCTGACCTTTGACTCTTGTTTGTTTTTATCTGATCTTTTTTTCTTTGTTTGTTTCTCTTTCTCTGTTTTTCTTCTCTAACACACACAAACACACAC